AGTGAATACTAGAAAGGACTGCCCTTCTAGCATCCAGCCTGCTACTGGATTTTCGTAACAATTAGTCAGTATCCTTGTCCAATTATCCATTAGAATTCAGTATGATTCAATAGTGCTTCAGGATTACAACTGGTAGGCTACTAACTAGAGAAGAAGCCGGCAGTGTAACGAGCAAAGAGCGATAATTACAGTAGTTAGACAATCAAGACTTGAACTATGAGCACATAATATGTTACATCCTACCTAACAAAAGTAACTAAATATAAGCAATATATAAGCAATATAAAATTATATGAAAAGGTAATATACATTATATATATATACATCATATACATTGTAACCCATTCAGGGTTGCAACAAAGCCCAAAGTGGGTCATGAAGCCTAGGGGAAATGGGAGTCATTCAGACTTGAGCCAAGGAAGGGAGAAACAAGTCCAATTCCTTAGACTAACAATCTCAGATCAGCATTAACCCTTTCAGGGCCCATGCCGTGGATCTACGGCTTTACGTTGAGGGTCCAAACCGTAGATCTACGCCAAAATTCTAGCGGTATCAAATTTAGCGCAAGAAAGCTGGTAGGCCTACATCTGAGAGAATGGTTCTGGGTGGTCAGTGTGCGCACTATAGAAAAAATCTGGATGCCTGCATGGCATTGTGGGAATGCCGCCAAAGTAGCTTTGTTCATCATGCTTGGCGGCAAGGAAGCTCTCACTCCCCACTCACTCTCCTGGCTGAATTCTGACTCTCCTCTTCACAACTTACAGTTCTAAGACTGATGGAAGTGGATCTGAAGAGGAATTCTATGGTTTTGAACCATATGGTACCATTGTACCATATGGTACCATTGCACCCTATGACACCATTGTACCATATGGTACTGTTGTATTCAACACAATAACTGCACTAATATTTTCATCATTTTGTTTACAATAAAGTTGTAAACAAGTTTTGTAAGCAATATAATGATCAACAAATTAGTGCAGTTATTGTGTTGAATACAATGAGTGTACACTTATACAATATACATTATATTGGTCTCACAGGCCACAAATGTTACTAGAAAAAAGAAAAAAATTAGAAAAAAGAAAAAAGTATAAAAAACGTAAAATAAAAAAAACGCGATTCTGCGGAAGTTGCTGATGTTGCCGCCACCCGGTCATTTTGGGTCAACTTCCCGCCGCTGTATCTCGGTAAGTACTGATCAGAAATTTTTGTTTTGTTTTATTACCTTCACAAAAATATTAACTTTAATTCTGTAAGAAAGTTTTTTTTTTTTTTTTTCTCCTCCAAAATTTCTTGGACACTGGGGCACCCCTTCAGATTTTGGCCTTGGACCCTGAAAGGGTTAAAGAATCTCTTGCGAGTGGTGTCACTCGTCTGTTTATCTTCATGGGGAAAATGGTAAATATTCTAGGGCCTGTAAGATCATATAGCACTCGGGGGAATGGGAGATAATCATGGGAGGGGAGTTCAAATTTCTTGGCTCAAGAGACCTTTACCAGCATCAGCATACCCTCCTTGAAGGGTAAATAATGTTTAGCTGGGCCTCCTGAATTAATATTTATTAAATTTATGATGAAGAGCTAAATCTGTAGTGGTTATATTAGCACCTGGAGAATGGGAGATAATCAGGTTTGATATGAGGAAGAGGAGAATAGCTCTAGTTTATTGAATCAAGATTCCTTCATTGGGGGTTACTATATCTCCCTTGAAGGGTATGAACAATAAGTTGCACAACAATTAGATGGATGAATAAGACACATGTACAACACTTGGGTTGCACATGGGTCTTGTTCATGTGCCTAATTCATCATCATATTGGTAATTTTTTTTTATTTTTTATTAACACATCGGCTGATTCCCACCAAGGCAGGGTGGACCGAAAAAGAAAATCTTTCATCATTCACTCCATCACTGTCTTGCCAGAGGGGTGCTTCACACTACAGTTTATAAAACTGCAACATTAACACCCCTCCTTCAGAGTGCTGACACTGTACTTCCCATCTCCAGGACTCAAGTCCTGCCTGCCGGTTTCCCTGAATCCCTTCATAAATGTTACTTTGCTCACACTCTAACAGCACGTCAAGTATTAAAAACCATTTGTCTCCATTCACTCTTATCAAATACACTCGCGCATGCTTACTGGAAGTCCAAGCCCCTCGCACACAAAATCTTCTTTACACCCTCCCTCCAACCTTTCCTAGGCCGACCCCTACCCCGCCTTCCTTCCACTACAGATTCATTCTGTTCTGTTCCATTCTCTGTGTCCGAACCACCTCAACAACCCTTCCTCAGCCCTCTGGACAACAGTTTTGGCAATCCCGCGCCTCCTCCTAACTTCCAAACTACGAATTCTCTGCATTATATTCACACCATACATTGCCCTCAGACATGACATCTCCACTGCCTCCAGCCTTCTCCTCACTGCAGCATTCATCACCCATGCTTCACACCCATATAAGAGCATTGGTAAAACTAGACTTTTTTTTCCTCTTTGCTTCCAGGGACAAAGTTCTTTGTTAATGTATACCATTAATGAAGTGATACAGTAATTAGGTGCCAGTTTTTAATTAACTTTTGATTAGGATGTCTGTGGCACTGCTTATGTAATTTGTTAGTTTATTAAAGTGATATTTATGGTAAGCTCTCATATAAAACTCCTCTCAATAGTGCAATTTTTTGTGAATGCAACTGAAAAGGTTGAATAGCACATGGAAAGGACTTAATAGTATGCACTATTCAATTTATATGCACTTTTTTAATCACATTTACAATAAATCACAGTATACTGAGGAGCTCTGTGAGTGAGGCTTTCTGTAATCCACCTTGATTGAGTGATAAATTCAATGAAACTCTCTGAGAAGACAAGTGACTTCTCTAATTGTCAGTTAGATGAGCGATCTTGCTCAAAATCTGAAAAAAAAAAAAAAACAGCTGTTGAGTCTTGCTCACTTATAATGTAATTCCTCTGTTTTATCCAGTGATAGTAAAGAGACAGGCTGCAGAACAAGCATTGACTTGGACAGTTTTGCTGTGTAGAGTTTTAACCAAGTCATGACTTGATAAAGCTCTAGACAGAGTGAAAGATTGTCCCAATAAAAGCTAATTCTGGAACCAGTCTCTCTGTCTCTCTCTCTCTCTCTGTCTCTCTCTCTCTCTGTCTCTGTCTCTTTCTCTCTCTCTGTCTCTTTCTCTCTCTCTGTCTCTGTCTCTCTCTCTCTTTCTCTCTCTCTGTCTCTCTCTCTCTCTGTCTCTCTCTCTCTCTCTGTCTCTCTCTCTCTCTCTCCCCAGTTTCTATATTATTTGATTCTGCATGATGACTGAGATAGAAATGGTTGCAGTCTGTACATGGAATGCAGAAAGCTCTTATAAAGCTCTTCCATATGGTGTGATTTTTAACCCTTTCAGGGCCGCCAGGCCCTCTCCAAGACTTGTTCTCAGGGTCGCCAAATTTAAAAAAAAAAAAACTTTTTTCTTATGAGAAGATAGAGAATCTTTTCCCGATCATATTGACACCAAAAGTATGAAATTTGATTGAAAACTTACGGAATTATGCTCTCGCGAAGTTAGCGGTCTCGACGATGTTAACTCATCGGCGATTTTGCCTACTTTGAGCCCTATTTTCGGCCAATTCCAGTGTACTAGTCGATAAAAATCATAACTATTTCGCTAGAACTCCATTTTTTCTATCGAATGAGTATAAGGAACCACCATTTACCGATTTCAACTATCCAATAAAGTGGTCAGAATTTAGCAATTTTGATAATTTCACACAAATTTCAAAAAATGCCAATTTCCGATTAGGGTCCAGAATAAACAAGGAAGACATTCCTGGCACTAAAATAACATTTCCTCTGTTCATTAGTCATGTCCCCATGCCTCTTGCATTCTTTTGCTTTCCACTTTGAATTTTTATTCTCACAAAAAATAGGTTTACTGTTATGCAGACTACTGCATTAGTGTAGAAATGGTATAAATAATATCAGCGCACTTGTGAAACAATATTAGACTCACCAGTTGACATGTCTTGGATGCGTAGCATGATTTGTTTACTTTTGAACTTTGGTAAAAATCAAACATTTCTGCTACTTTGAGCTCAATTTCAAGGTACTTTTCATTGTAAAACCAGTCAAAATCATCTCAATTTCTGTAATATGTCTTCCATTCTATAAAATGAGACCAGAAAACTAGAATACAACAATAAATACCATATGAAAATGCAGTGCAAAGTCACTGTTTTAATCCAAAAACACGGTCGAAGTTTTTTTTTTCTCATTACGCACTGTGTGCTGCAGGATTTTTTTTTATACTGCACACACTGACCACAAAGACCCATTCTTTCATATGTAGGCCTACCAGCTTTCTCTCGCTAGATTTGAGGGCGCTAAAATTTAGGCGTACTAGTATGTCAAAAACCCTGGTGCGTAAGCCGTACTAGTATGGCCAAAACCCTGAAAGGTTTAATAATAGCATATACTATGCTGGTGTTTCTGTGGACTTTTATAACCACAATTCCAAAAAAAAAATCAAAACAGAGAGAGAGGAGTTTCATACGAGATCTTGCTGTATTATAGGCAGTTCAATCACTGCCTTGTCTGGCAGTGTCTGACTAGCGAGGGATTGATTGATAGACATGTTATTTTCATTACAATCAGAACTAAATGCTGAACCCACAAGGGTCTTTAATGGATGTAAGATGAAGCCTGGATCATATCTTGAGCCGAGCGACTTGAATGGGTTTAATGCTTTAATGGTGAATGAAGTGCATCTTTTTAATTGAATCTTAGGACAAATTTAATAAGATTGACTCAGAAGGACATATTATATATCTAGACATAATGGTAATGAATTTTCAGTAAGGCATTATTATTTTCATTATCATTATTACAGTTCTTTAACTAATATATGTATGTATGCATAGGTTTCTTCATTTCATTTACGATTCCTGAATATCATTGTAAATTATTGCCCATCAATTTCACATTACTCTGAATTCATAGGTGTGGTTCATCTGCACGGGTACAGGGTGCAGAGCACCAGCATAGGTGGAAAGAAACATGCCTTCGAACTCCTGCCTCCAGAACCCAAATTTAGACACTTCTACTTCTACACTGAATCTGACAGTGACAAAAAGAGGTCAGTAAAGTGCTGTATGGTGCATGGTTTGTAGTGTTTTTCTGTTATTAAAATAAGATAGATCAAAATAGTTTAGTGTGTAAGTTCAATATGGGCTGTAAGAAGGCATTTGACACAGTTTCACACGAGATTAGTGGAAAACCTGGAGGACCAGGCAGGGATAACAGGGAAGTCACTGAAATGGATCAGGGAGTACCTGTCAGGAAGACAACAGCAAGTCATGGTACATGGCGAGGTGTCAGAGTGGGCACCTGTGATGAGCGGGGTTCCACAGGGGTCAGTTCTAGGACCAGTGCTGTTTCTGGTATATGTGAACGACATGACGGAAGGAATAGACTCAGAAGTGTCCGTGTTTGCAGATGATGTGAAGTTGATGAGAAGAATTCAATCGGATGAGGACCAGGCAGAACTACAAAGGGATCTGGATGGGCTGCAGGCCTGGTCTAGCAACTGGCTCCTGGAGTTCAACTCCCACCAAGCGCAGAGTCATGAAGGTTGGGGAAAGTCAAAGACGGCATGTGGAGTACTGTCTAGGGGACCCCAGAGACTACAAACCTCACTCGAGGAAAAGGATCTTGGGGCGAGTAGAACGCCAGGCACATCTACTGAGGTGCACATCAACCCAATAACTGCTGCAGCATATGGGTGCCTAGCAAACCCAAGAACAGCAATTCCAACATCTCAATAAGGAATTGTTCTGGACCTTGTACACCATGTACATTAAGCCTATATAGGAGTATGCAGCACCAGTTTGGATTCCACATCAAGCCAAGTACGTAAGGAAGCTACTTGAAGGGCATAGGTTTGCAACAAGACCAGTCCCAGATCTAAGGGGCATGTCCTAAGAGGAGAGGTTAAGGGAAATTGACCTGGCAACACTGGAGGACAGGAGAGATAAGGGGGATATGATAACGACATATAAAATAATACTGAGAGGAATCAACAAGGTGAACAGAGACAGGATGTTCCAGAGATTGGACACGGCAACAAGGGGTCACAGTTGGAAGTTGAAGACTCATTGTATCATTTTATAAACCCATGTGCTTATCACGTCTCTTTACCTACTGTCTTGGACTAAAGAAATTTCAGTTTCTTCAAGATTTATTTTTAATTCATTGTTTTTAAATCTTTCCTTGACATTACCTGAGGACAATTCCAGTAGTCACCACTCCTGCATCCCAGTACCAGACCAGACCTCCTTGTTGATGGCCTGATCATCCAGGCTGTTGGTATTAGCTACATGCAGTCCAATGCAGCCACCATAGCCTGGCTGATCAGGAACTGACTTGAGGAACTTTATGAAGTTTCCTCTTGAAAGGAAATGGAGGGATTTTAGATTTGTTTTATAAAAAAGAAAATCCTTTAGACACAGCAAACACTAACATGGTTTCTGTTTTTTATAACACTGAAATGTTTTCTTAGACTGAAATTTTTTCAGACTGCCTTTAAACTCTGTGTACTTATATGGTTTCTCTCCTGTATGAACTCTCATAATGTGAATGTGTAGATATAATTTTGGTGAAAAGACCTTCAGACACACTAGAAAATGAGGTGATTTCCCATTTGTATGAATTCTCATGAAATTATTTAGAAATGATTTTCTTGCAAGGGACTCAAGACAGAACATTGATATACTTTTTTCCCTGGTATAAACTCTTGTATTATATTAATCTGTTCATTCTGAACAGTCATAAAACTCCAGACCGACGCTTTTGCCACTGGGCCAGCTGGCTACAATAAGATTCATCTAACAAGGTATATTTATACGCCATATTGTAGCCAGCTGGCCCAGTGGCTAACACGTCGGTCTGGAGTTTTACGACTCTTTAACCTCAAGTTCAAATCCCACCCATGGTATGGGTCACTTATATTGTCTCTCTCCTGTGTGAACTTTCACTTTTTTGCAGTGCCATCTATAAATATGCTAAACAATTATGGTGATATCATGCATTCTCTGTCTTGTGAAACACTACAGTTTAACCTATAAGTTTATTTAGGTAGAGATACACAAGTAAAATTATCATACATAGTAACATTTGTGTAAATTACCTAGGATGGGGTTGTAAAGGAAGTAAATGCTAGGGTGTTTGGGAGAGGGGTGGGATTAAATTATGGGGAATCAAATTCAAAATGGGAATTGACACAGTTACTTTTTGCTGATGATACTGTGCTTATGGGAGATTCTAAAGAAAAATTGCAAAGGTTAGTGGATGAGTTTGGGAATGTGTGTAAAGGTAGAAAGTTGAAAGTGAACATAGAAAAGAGTAAGGTGATGAGGGTGTCAAATGATTTAGATAAAGAAAAATTGGATATCAAATTGGGGAGGAGGAGTATGGAAGAAGTGAATGTTTTCAGATACTTGGGAGTTGACGTGTCGGCGGATGGATTTATGAAGGATGAGGTTAATCAAGAATTGATGAGGGAAAAAAGGTGAGTGGTGCGTTGAGGTATATGTGGAGTCAAAAAACGTTATCTATGGAGGCAAAGAAGGGAATGTATGAAAGTATGAGTAGTACCAACACTCTTATATGGGTGTGAAGCTTGGGTGGTAAATGCAGCAGCGAGGAGACGGTTGGAGGCAGCGGAGATGTCCTGTTTAAGGGCAATGTGTGGTGTAAATATTATGCAGAAAATTCGGAGTGTGGAAATTAGGAGAAGGTGTGGAGTTAATAAAAGTATTAGTCAGAGGGCAGAAGAGGGGTTGTTGAGGTGGTTTGGTCATTTAGAGAGAATGGATCACAGTAGAATGACATGGAAAGCATATAAATCTATAGGGGAAGGAAGGCGGGGTAGGGGTCGTCCTCGAAAGGGTTGGAGAGAGGGGGTAAAGGAGGTTTTGTGGTAAGGGGCTGGACTTCCAGCAAGCGTGCGTGAGCGTGTTAGATAGGAGTGAATGGAGACGAATGGTACTTGGGACCTGACGATCTGTTGGAGTGTGAGCAGGGTAATATTTAGTGAAGGGATTCAGGGAAACCGGTTATTTTCATATAGTCGGACTTGAGTCCTGGAAATGGGAAGTACAATGCCTGCACTTTAAAGGAGGGGTTTGGGATTGGCAGTTTGGAGGGATATGTTGTGTATCTTTATATGTTTATGCTTCTAGACTGGTGTATTCTGAGCACCTCTGCAAAAACAGTGATAATGTGCGAGTGTGGTGAAAGTGTTGAATGATGATGAAAGTATTTTCTTTTTGGGGATTTTCTTTCTTTTTTGGGTCACCCTGCCTCGGTGGGAGAACGGCCGACTTGTTGAAAAAAAAAAAAAAAAAAAAAAAAAAAAAAAACTGCAGGGTAATATTTATGAAGGGATTCGGAAAAACTGGTTATTTTTATATACCCGGATTGAATCCGGGAAAAGGAATAAAATGCCTGCACTTTAAAAGGAGGGTTGGGATTTTGGATTTTGGGGAGGGATATGTTTTTGAATCTTTATTGTTTGTAAACTGTTGTATTCGAGCACCTCTGCAAAAAAGTGATTGTGTGTGAGTGAGGTAAAAAGTTTTTGAATGATGAAATATTTTTTTTTTTGGGGTTTTTCTTTTTTTTTGGGTCACCCTGTTTTGGGTGGGAATGACTAAAAAAAAAAAAAGAATGGGGGAAGCAGAGACTGTCTTGACCTGGCTATGGCTCTGGGTATATCCCTGTCTTAGGCCTACTTTTACTGGAAAATAATCCCTCTTCTACACACCATAGCTTAGGCCTTTTTTTTTTTTTTTCAACAAACCGACCATCTTCCACCCAGGCAGGGTGACCCAAAAAACGAAGAAACATTGTCTGCATGAAAAAACCTATTCCTTTTTTTAACCACTACATACCCATACACTGCACAAATTGCCAAATAAAACAATTAAAAAAAAGCACTCTAAGGGAAAAAAAAGGGAGGGCCCTTATTCGAATTAAAATAATATAACTGCTGTTAACACCATTGTAATAGTCTTATTTAGAGTCCAAATTTTATAATTTTTAATTCTAAAAGCATTGAAAATGTGCAATTTGAATCGCTTTTATCGATGATTTTAAAATCTGGATAACTTTTTTTTGTCGCTGTCATCCCAGCCCAAAAAATTCCAAAATTTTGTAAAGTTTGAAACTTACAAAGCTTTCTGTTTAGAACCAATCCCCGGGAATTATTCACACCAACAAAGTCTCGCTTTTGGAACGAGTTAAATATAATAATTTTTTTTACTAATATTCAAGGGGAAATGAACAGTAAGGGTTGTGCGCACTGGGAAATAGACAAACAATATGATCCAGGAAGGGGGAAAAATAGTTCCAATTCCTTGGGTCAAAATCCCATTACTAATGTCAAATCATCCCCTTGACATGGTTAGATAATATTGGCAATTGTCTTTATCATAATTATTAATAGTATCAATATTTTCTTTTCAGATGGTTAGCAGCCTTAGAATATTCCATAGACAGATGGATTAAAGTGGGCTGAATCAAGTTTTCCTAATGGCATAGAGGACTGGGATGTGGTCTAGTTTTGAGTCTTCAATATAACTAGAAAATGACTTCAAATGTTATTTATGCTGCTGACTGGAAGCAAGGTCAAGCACAAAGACACTACTCAAAATTGTGATAGCGTTGAGAAGAAGCCAATCAAAGTTTCTCATTTAGAAACGGTTTTGCTTCGCAGTTTTGCAAGGGATTTTTTCAGCATTCAATCAAACAGCCAACTTGTGAAATACCTTTTTAAATTTATATTTAAGGCTCAAAGTTTGAAGTGGTATCACATCAATCAGCAATACAAGAGATAGTCATAAATATAGACCAGAATAGCAAAAAAAATGCTTGGTGTATTTTTCTTAAAGACAATGTTATGGACGTGTTGTTTAAGTTTGGTCAAATTTTTTAGTTTAGAATACTGCCATAGGTTAGTGCTGAGGGTTGTTCATAAATGAATTCAGAGACTAAATGGCCAAAAACTGTAAATTGTATTTGACTTTTTTACAGTATAATGACAATGACCCCCCCCCTATGACAATATCTTATTTAAAGTGTCAACATAATGCTAAACTTGACATTGAAAGGTAACAAGTACATACAGTACATGCAAATGAATTTTGAGCAGTGGATAATGGTTTGAAGTTGATTTCAGAGAGTTTAACATTTACTGAATCTGTTAAACAAAAAAAAAATAATATTTTGTTATACACCATTCTCTCTCTTTCGAGAACCATTTATTACCCACATGTTGTTCCAGGGTTCATAAATTAATGTACGAGTTATGAACTTTGTACTAGAGACACTGATCTCATCACACTAATTTTTTTTTTCTGAATACTTTTTCACCCCATCACTTTCTAGCTAAACTGATTATATCTTTTGTTGTTGTTTTAATTTATTTTTGAACTGGTTTTCCTAAGAGACGAGTATATATTTTTCCTTACCCCCATATGTGTGCACTTTATCCTGTATAAGGAATCGGGTGTTACATGGTTACTATGCATAGTTTTGCAGTTAATGTCCACCTGTGGATAATATACTGTTATATAATGTACAGAGAAGTGCATTTTATATCTACACATTAATGTGTATGCCTTGAGTACTCTGCGCACAAATGTATTGTGGAAATGAGGAACACTTGTGTGTGACACGTTGGTTGCATATGTATTTTGTCAGTTTGGTGATGAATCTCATCAGAAGCACTTGGACAGGAAATATTCTAGTCAATTTTGTTCATACAAAAAATAAAAGGTAGTTATATATTTTTTCTTAAAATTATGCGAATATACATCAAAGAATGTAGAGCACTTCATAGGGAAGATTTTTATGGCCAATCATGTATCAAAAGCAATGAAATAGTCTGACCACATACATGAATGAATACAACACAAAAACTTATAATATTAGTTGACGTTTTTTTTTTTTCTTGAAATTCAAAAATCATCGGTGCTTATTCGTATAATTTTTTTTTTTTACAGCATACAGTAGTTTTAATAGTAAGTAAACTAGATAGCAAATTAAGAAACATTACAAAAGGAGTTCCAAGTAATTTATAACTTCGCCTTTACAATTCTTTGCTACATCTTTTCAATTACAAATTAAAAAGTCACTCATTGTAAATCAATCATTCTTTAAATTATCTTCCATAATCTTAAGGTTGCTTTGCCTTCCCAGATGCTGCTTACTTAAAATAATCACTAGAAGAGCTGACTGGTCAGCAACCAAGAAGGTACTGATCATATTATCTATCACATAGGCTCATTTCATTAAATTGTTCCTTGAAACAAATTTTTAAATTTATAAAAGGACTGCAATCATACACATTTGGAAGCACTGGTTATACAAGTTAGGAAAACCTCAGTGAGGGAAGCAATAGTATTTGAGAATCTGGAGACATATCACAACCCATCTTTCTCCAGGTGTTAAAATATTCAGCAGTGTACAACAGTTTTATACATGCGTGATAGTTTCTAAATATTTTGTTACATGTAAAACGGGAAAATTATTATACATACACAACCCCAACATCTGTTTTAAAATCTCATGTCTAACAGTACAGTGCTGTATTTTAAGTACAATAGAGTACTGTATTTTTAGTACATATTACTGTACTGAAAGTGCCATTACTATTTTTAGTGGCATTCGATATATAAATAATTTATACAGTATTGAACTGTATTCAATCAGGAACATACACTTTTACACAAATTTCATAGCTTCATTAAACATTCTCTTTCATAGGCATTTCAAAATGAATGCATTTTATATATATATATATACATATATATATATATTATATATATATATATATATATATATATATATATATATATATAATATATAATTATATAATTATATAATTATAAATAAAATGCAATGCATTTCAATCCAGCATAGATAATCATTAATGCACATAAGATTTCTACTCTTTCAACTACAATGGACATATGCAAAGTTAGAGTTGACATATTGGACGAAACTAGTTCATGCTTCATAACAGAGTACTCCATGTTAATTATGTATATATAATGCAAATGTTCCTTAATGTGGTATTTCTCATAAGAAAAATGTAATTTATAAAAGTGCAACTTTTAATACAGCATTGGTATATGGAAAAAAAAAAAATACTAGACACCACTAACAGAATGGTGCACATTTCGTCCAAAATGTAAAAAAGGAAAACAATGTTTTAATCTATTTTGTCTTTTGCCTCTTGTTCAATATCTTACTTTATCTACTACCTAATCTTTTGGTAATTAATATACTACTTGATATCAAAGGCATACTAAATAGGCAGCTGTATTAGTATAAAAAATGTCAAACAATCAGTGATTGTGGGTCATGGCATATATTTAATTTTTGTACTCCCACTGATAAACAATCTTTAGCAACACCTAGATCACTCTCGCTGATGTTACAAATGTTCTATTTTCTAGTCACACTCTCACTTTGTGCAATTTTTTGAAGAAGAGATTTGTGCCAAATCTTGTATATTAAGTGACATGGGTATCAGATATGAAGCTTGGCCACTTCACAGCTGCAGCTCATATGCTAGGGTAGCACAAACTACCATAATAAATGATCTTTCACTACCCTGGCTATGGTAGGAGGACAAGCCTTGTGAAAGCTATAGGGTTTGTATTTGATATTCGGGTCTTTTTACTCATTTGAGACTCGCGAATGGTTGAGTAATTGTGTAAGTGTTCTGTGTGCTGTTTTCTATCATGATGACTGTAATATAGCTTAGATAAGAGAAAGATGATGTTTGTTTGAGCCAATAAATTGTGGACCAGATTTACACTAGTATTATTAACTGATTATCAACCTTGATGAAATCTGAAAAATCATGAAATTAATTTTAGCAGCAGAAATCAAAATAAACACACACACACATATGGAAAATGTGAGGAAAATTAAAGCTATATCGGAGTATGAAACAAATTCCAATCGCAGAATAAAGCGAAAAACTAGTGTAAAAGACCTGGGAGTGATCATGTCAGAGAATCTCACATTCAAAGACCATAACATTGTATCAATCGCATCTGCTAGAAAAATGACAGGATAACTAATGAGAACCTTCAAAACTAGGGATGCCAAGCCCATGATGACACACTTCAGGTCGCTTGTTCTATCTAGGCTGGAGGTGTCTCGTAGCTTGACTGCTAGCGCACTCGGCTCACACTCTGAGGTCTGGGGTTCGAATCTCCTCCGATATGGCTGGAAAACATTGAGGATGTGTTCCTATAAGACACCTGTTGTCCCTGTCCCTGTTCACCCATCACTTCAAAATGGATACCCGAGTGTTAGTTGACTGGTGTGGGTCAGATCCTGAGACAAAATTGACCTAATTTGCCTGAAATGCTCAGCATAACAAGCGGCTTTCTATGTAGTAGTATGTCACTGATGTCAGCTAGGCCTGTATACCATGTACATGTACTTGTATTAAATAAAGATATAGTATTATTAATAGTGCTGCACACTAACAGCCCTTTCAAGGAAAGTAAAACTGCTGACCTAGAAAATGTACAGAGAACCTTCACAGCACACAACTGCGATAAAACACCTCAATTACTGAGAAAGCTTGACGTTCCTCAACCTGTACTCCCTAGAATGCAGGCAGGAGGGATACCTGATTATATACACTTGGAAAATCCTAGAGGGATTAGTACCAAACTTACACACAAAAATCACTCCCTATGAAAGCAAAAGACTCGACAGGCGATGCAACATACTCCCAATGAAAAGCAGAGGTGCCATTAGCATGTTAAGAGACAACACAATAAATGTCAGGGGCCCAAGACTGGTCAACTGTCCTCCCAGCATACATAAGGGTGGATTACCAATAGACCCCTGGCTGTCTTCAAGAAGGCATTGGACAGACACCTCAAGTCAGTACCTGACCAGCCGGGCTGTGGTTCATATGTCAGACTGTGTGCTGCCAACAGTAACAGCCTGGTTGATCGGGCCCTGATCCACCATGAGGCCTGATCACAAACCAGGCCATGAGGGCGTTGACCCCCGAAACCCTCTCCAGGTATACTCCAGGTAGATACACACACACCCCAGGAGCTGAGTCTCGACCCCTGTAACCACAATTAGGTGAGTACAATTAGGAGAGTACACACACACAGTGAACCATACACTGTATACATAATACTGTGGACCCTCCCTTTTCGTCATTAATCCATTCCAGAGAGTCTGATGAAATGTGAAATTGACGCAAGCTGAAACCATTATCCCCATAAGGGCTTAGCGCTTCTTTTTTATTATAATAATATTATCCCCATAAGAAATAATGTAAATCCAATTAATCCGTTCAAGACTCCCAAAAGTATTAAAAAAAATTTTTTTTTAGAGATTAAATATAGATTTACATACAGAAAATAATGACAAATATATTATAAAGCACTAATAACATGTATAAATGAACATTTAATATCATATTTACCTTTACTGACGACTCTTGTTGGTGTATAAAAGACAGGGAGGAGGGGAGAGGGAGGACTGATTATTGTTTGGGAGGGGAATCCCCTTCCATAAAGACTTCAGGTACCAAGTCCTTATCCTGGGTTACTTCCCTTCTTTGTTTTTTAATAGCTCTAGGACCAGCTTAAGAGTCATCAGACCCCTGTTGCACAAAAAACTGTCCAGAGAGCTCTTGCAGCTCTACCCTCTACCACAATTACTACCACTACCACCCTCTACCACCATCACTACCACCCTCTACCAACATCACAACCACTACCACCCTCTACCACCATCACTACCACCCTCTACCACAATTACTACCATTACAACCACTACCACCCTCTACCACAATTACTACCATCACAACCACTACCACCCTCTACCACCATCACAACCACTACCACCCTCTTCAGGTGATGCTAAAGTAGTTGAGAGGAAGTCCTTGTATATGCAAATGAGCCAGATGAATATGAAAAAAGAAGCACTGCAAAAGGCCTATTAGTCCATGCTCAATGAATCCATCTGTCAGCATTCTCACAGATCTATAACCCGATTCCTAAATGAGTACTTTCCCAAATTTATCATATCCTAATTATTCTAGCTAAATTAATCAAATTCACAAGTGACAGACAGCCTAACTTAACATAAAGAGAGGCCTCTGAGTTATTTTAATGTTGGTCAATTATTTTTCTCAAATTATCATCTGCTGTACACTGTTGCATCTCATTAATTTTTTAGCATCATTAAAAATAATTTTATGATTCTCTATACTTTTTTTTTAACAAGTCGGCCATCTCCCACCTAGGCAGAATGACCCAAAAAGAAAGAAAATCCTTTCATCATCATTCAACACTTTCATCTCACTCATACATAATCACTGTTTTTGCAGAGTTGCCCAGATACAACAGTTTAGAAGCATATATAAAGATATAACATATTCCAAACTGCCAATATCCCAAACCCCTCCTTTAAAGTGCAGACATTGTACTTCCCATTTCCAGTACTCAAGTCTGGCTATATAAAAATAACAGGTTTACCTG